GATTGAACAAACGGCTGCAGTGAAACATGCATCTATACAAGCTATGTCATGTACATGTAACTGGTGCTACATCTGATCACTTTGTCAGGGTCTATATGTTAGTTTTCAGTGGGGTAAACGAGCATTCTGTTCCGAACAATCTTTTCGAACATCTCCTTTGGAAACGCACTCTGAATCCAACATAGAGCATTGACCAAGGTTCCATGCGTGAAGCATCCTCAAAAAGAGGCTACTAGCCGCACAAAAGCCACACGGGCCATCCAATTCTGCAAAAAACCAAAGCCAATACCTCCCAACAACCAAGGGCATCAACGCAGGGACGTGCGACCCGGCGCTCTTAAACACGGCGGCTTGACACTAGCTGGACGATCAGCGTGGTCATGCGCACCAACACCAAGAGCCAGGCCGCCCTGGTGTGTTGGCCAGTGAGTTGACCCCAGAAAATGATGGAAACTGAACTAGCCGGTCAAGTTGTTCGGTTGAAAGGGTTCTAATGCTTTTCCTAGAAGGTTTACCTGGCATCGAATCAAATCCACAAAGAACAATCCCTACCAGTGTCACGTGGTGCGAAGTCTGTTGGAAAACGTTTTGGCTCAGACATTACATGCCACCTATGAGGATTTCATGAGGGAGGTGTCTCCAAGCCGGTGTGTAAAGTTTCTTCCGACTTCTACAGTTCCAACCACTCCGGTTCTCAGTTCAATGTGCCTGAATGTGGGTCCCAGGGAGTCCCAGGGTCCCAGGAACGGCTCAAATGTCTGATCCAAATCACCAAGGAGCTAGCAGCTATATATAGCTGGAACAATCATCAGGATGCCAGGTCAGGGTCAAAACCCAAAATCTTCGGATTCCGGTCGAATCCGAAACCCGACGTGCGAGCAATCGATATATGATCCTGCCAGAATCAAGGACCCTGGTGAAGGGTTTGAGGGCCCACGCCCCTGTGAACAGCAGGGTCAAAACCCTCCATAATGAAGACTAAAAGAAACGATTATTGAATATTGTTGTTCAATCCACCTCTGAGGGGTTACAATCCACCTCTGAGGGGGGTACTTTTAATATTAAATGATCCTCTGTGGAATAACCGGTGGGGGTTGAGAACCCCATTTTATAGTCATAAATGACTGAACCAGGCTCTGGGAGCACAATGCCCCACTATAGAATCTAGCTTTCAACCCTTGTAGTGTACAGCATAGTTTCTCTATCGAATAAAGGGAGTCAACCTTTAAGGCACTAATGTAACAGAATTGTAGGCTCAAAATCTGAATTATCCAATAGAAACAGCCAGGGGTGGTCCTCATTCTATAGACAAGTGGGTGTAACATCAAGGCTGACATATTATTTTAGAGGAAAGTTACGCAGCAATGGCAAAAGAGGTTGGCATTTTATTCTATAGAAACATGATTGAGCATTGCAAGGCTGAAATTCATTTTATAAAAAAAATCAGAAAATGACACTCCAAAAACAAGATATGTCTATAGAGGTTGATATTCATTTTATAAGGACAGGGTTGGACACTCACAGGTTGATTTTTTTTAGAAAGGTGGGCTGAATTTTGAACAAAAAAAACATTTTATAGTGGGCCAATATTCACCGGTTATTCCACAGGAAATGTGGGAATGCATGCACCAGATTGCACAAGAATGCGCCGGATATTTCGTGAAATCAGAATCAGAATCCAACCTAGCTCACTGTAAAACATCCATCCACTCTAAAGTAAACTCTCAACCTTCTACTGTTCCAGGTTCTCTCTATAGAATCAAAACCATGTCCTCTATAAAATGTCCTCAATTGTCATGTATTCTCTATAAAATGAGGGTGATCAACCTATTGACCCATCAATATATGATTTTCTCACCTCAGAGATCCTCAGAGTGGATCTATCTCAGGTAGGTTGACATTTGATTCTAGAAACAACTCTCTATAAAATGCCAGGTCATTATGGAGCTCGACCTCCCCCATTCTATAGGGGTTATTCGGCAGAGGATATTAAATGTCTTAAGAGTCTACCGTATGGAGGGTGCAAAGATGGTTCATGTGTGAACCCTTCCGCACACGTCGTCTCGACAGTCTGCCGCTCGATCAACATGGCGCTTTCGGTGTTCGTCGGCACCTGCTGCTGCAGAGAATCTGTAGAGGTCGGTCCTGGAGGCGTTTCGCAAGCGGCGTGGACACCTCCATGGAGACGACCTGTTTATGTGTTCTATGTTTTACATGTCAAAATACACCTTTGTTTGCAAATCATGGCCTGGCTTTTGGGCACTTGGGTGGTGAAGGTAGGCCATATCTTGCATGGAGCATTCGTGTACGTCCCGATCACTGACCCTCAGACCGATCCAAAGACGGGATCGTACGGAACATGTGGGTCGTTCACTCCCGGGGGGTGCTGCCCGGGTTTTCCCATTGAACATGAACAAACTAGACTACCAAACTGCCGGTCAACCAAGCTGTCAGGGTTTTCGTTCCGGGCTCCTGGGTGGTTTTGACCCACAGCGATAGGATGAAAAACATAGATCCTTTGGAGACTCTGAAAAGCACCCAAACGTTTCTCTTTGGCTAAAGCGTCTAAACCAGGTTTGTTGATCAATTCAAAGGCTTACTTGCCAGTGGATGGAGCATGATCTCCCACCAAACTGACATGTTAAAACAACATGTGCGAAATAGCCTCTCTCCACATATACCAGTAGTGCTAAGCTTGGCCATCTGCGGTTTGTAACCACCTGCTTGAATTTTGGTGGCGACACACTAGTCCACTTGTAGTGCCAAACTGACAATTTAATTATTCCAACATATATTCCAAACGCAAACCTCACTGGGCATCCACCACGCATCTCGACCAGCTTTGACCACGGGAAATCCTCCAAACGCGTCCCGAAACGCGCAACTCGCGCTGTCGCTTTTCGCCCCAGCGACGCGCAAAGCTCGCGACAGTCGGGCTGGGGTGAAACTCTTGGAGCCGCTCCGAGCTCCGGCCGCAGTCAGTGCGAGAGATCCCTCTGTTTCGAACTGTCCTTTGCACAAGAAACAAACAATGCACACTGCATATTATATGCATCGATGAAATCAGGAATATCTGGCAAGGGCATGAAATCATGTGAAATCCAAGCACACGAATTGCCTGGAAAGGACGCCCGTACGTTTCTTGCTTTGGGTGACTAAATTGCAGAATCGAAACTCGCCACAAACCGTTGTAGCAATCTCTCGCTGTTTCAGTCTACAGCCGGGCAGTGCTGGAAGCTTTCACAGCGCTGCAAAGTCTACATGTTCCTCAAGCACTTCCATGGAAGCGAAGGTGGAAGACAAAGCAGGTGATCGATATAGCGATTTAAATGACTATTCGTGTCCGAACCCCACATGTGGCAATGTCTGAAAGACGTGGGTACTCGATCCCCATCGGGATTTCTAATATTCTAACAAGGTCAGCGAAGGCTGCTCTGAGTTCTTCATCTCCAGCACCATCTTCGTCACATCGTCTCGCAGGCCTCGGTCAAGAGTCACCGCGCCACCGGAACCAGCGTCGCTTTCTGGCGGTCTTTCGTTGCCGGTGGAGCTTGACATCAGTGCGAGTGCGATGCGGTCGAGACATGCACGTTTGGATTTGGCCGGCTTACCTGCTGGGCATGACCAAGAGCCTGAAAAATAAGAAAACACCAAGCACTGATCCGCACGGGGCTTTCTGGCCGGTTTGGATCTTGGATCTTCTTACGATTTCTTAGGTGTATATTGTTAGCCTGCTGTTTTCTTTTTTTCCAGATCTCTCTATTAGTACCGGACAGTATGTCCTTTAAACCTTCCCTCAAGTTTCAACGTCTTTTCGTGGCAGGTCTCCTCAGTGCTTACGTCCTTTCGATCTCGGAGTCGCACTGACTCCCATTGGTCTCGTCAAGATCTTTTCGTGAAACGGAGCAAAAGCACGCAAGTGACGGCAAGGCCAAAGTCCAACACGCACATGGCAAGAAACCTTCGAAGGTAACCAAGCAACTGACTTGATTGGTATCTGTGGTAAATGCAAATCAACTGCTTTCATATGAGGGACTATTTAAGGAGCGACCTGCCACAAGAAAATGAACTGGAAATGAAGGGTGTTGCTTGTGATCCTTCGTCCCGTGCTTCCTTTTCTTCCTCCAGCTTGATCTCCGATCGTTTCTGTGGCCTCGTGAATGGAAGTTAGTTGGGCTAGCTTACCACGCACTCCTGAAGCCATTGCGTCAGGACAAAAATACAACTTGTGCAAGCAAAACAAGTCCGCAAGAGGACTCACTTGTGATGAAACAAATACACTTGACGCCAAAACCGCAAGAGAGGACTTGCACTGTAACTGTAGAACAAGGGTGTCTATGCTACGCCATACCGGAGAACAGGATCGCCAAGTGGCCGTTCACCTCGATGATGACATCCCCCCTCTTGACCTGGTAAAGCGAGTTGATTGACAGGTGTGAAACAGGATCAACATCGATCAACATGTATCACCTGGGGTCCAACCTGTCGTCCAAAGATTGACCATTTGGTACGCAACACGCTTCTCTTCCCTCACTTTTTCCAGGCGCGATGACTGATTTGTCCTAAATGCACTAGCTCCGAGATGTAAGAATGACTGCAAAACGGCGAGGATGCTCTTGCAAAGTTCTGCTTTGCTAATTATATAGATTGAACCCCCTCGAAAGGGTCAGGCAAGATGGTCCCAAAGATCCCTAAAGTAATTGCTGAAGTCGTCAGTCTCTTGTTTCCACAAAGAGTTCTTTCTGGCAGGTGTCCTCCCATTTCCTGCACCTCAAAGTTTCTCCACACTCCTATCTCGAAGTCTGAGAAAGTGAACATCACCTCAAGGGATCCAAGTACCTTCTCAGAAGGTGATTGGAGACACTGTTATGTAGGTTTGGAGGGTCCAAGTACCTTCTGAGAGGGTACTTTGATCCCTAGGGATGAAGTGTCTGGGTTATGCGATGGCCACATCTGCTAGGACCGCTCCTCCTCACGCATCGCATGGTGTCAAGCTCGTCACGTCGCGTCTCTCGTCACCCTCGACCGTCTCTCTCTCTCGTCTCTCCCGCGCTCCCCCACCGGCGTCTCCGGATGTGCCAGGTTCCAGTCTTGCACCAAGCCGTCCTCGTCCAAGCCTCGGTGGTGACCGAACGAGTACGTCACGGGTCGCCGGTGAGGTTCGCGAGTTCACGGCGCGCGTACGGGTACGTCACGGCGAGAACGCCGGTAGCGATGGAGAAGGTGAGTACAGAAGTACACGGCGTGGTGACGTGCCTTGAAATAGCCGGTGGTCCAGGCGACGTTTTTCTATGCTCTTCTCGGGCGTTCGGCGTTCGGCGTTCGGACCGAAGCGCGGTTGTATTCATTCGCCTGATCAGGCTGTGTATTCTATGGTTGAGTCTTCGTCTCATAGGCATCTTGTCCATCATATGCACGACAGTAAGCATCAAATGCAGGAGTGCTAGCTACACATGTGACTCGAATGGTGGTGATTTCTTTTTGCCAAGTTCCAACCAACAACCAATGCCCCCCCAAAACTCGTGGTTGACCATCTGTTGAGGCCAAAGATCATCCAAACTCAGCAGTGTTGGCCCGGTCACGGGTTCGAAATGTAAAAACAAATGCATGATATATACATATATCAGATTATATCAGATAAAACTAGAGGATGATAAAAGCTCGGTGTATAAATTCTACGGCTCTATAAACAATAAACAACATGAGGGAAGGGGGTGAAGGCACGGTGGTCTCAAAGGTCTCTCTGAAGTAGTGTAGCTTACTTGAAAGGTGGTCAGACCGGCCATTCTGTACTTAAGGTCAACGGTCAGCAGAACAAAGTCACGAATTCTGCCAGGATAAACTGGAAAGTACCAACTCACAAAATTTGGAGGTTCCAAGCAGACTGGAGGTTCCAAGCTATCAAACAGATGCGTGAATCAAACAGACTGGAGGTTCCAATCAATTCGACTTATCAAACAAACAGAGTCGGTTCCAAGCTATCCAACCGCCGCCACAGATCCAATCTCACATCTGGTGATGCACAGGACTTCGGCTGGGAGAGCGGGATAGTCCCGGACTTTGGCTTCTCATTTTGCAAGGGCTCTTCCACCAGGTAGGTTGTGACCAAAAAAGCATACCAACCCTCAAACCTGAATCTCTTACGAAGACAGTCCACCTCAATGAGTGTTCCTCCTGTTCGGCTTAGGATCAAGGGGCATCGAAATACCATCAGGTTGTTGATGTATAAACAACGCTATTCGAGTCCAACCTCTCCAAGGTTTACGAATCAACCACACGAAGTGAGTGTCAAAAGGTATCAACGGAAGCACCCAGTCCGACTGGGTGACACCACTTCACAAATCCGCAGCAAAAACCGCTCCCACCTGCAATGAGCACTTTGGATGCCGATTTGAAGTAGTTCAGGGTGATCCCGAACTCCTTCCCTGCGCCGATGTTCTTCGAGGTCATTTTTCGTCAACGAGTCGATCGAGGGGGAACTAGCTGGTGGGACTGCGTGCATGATGTCTTTTCTGTAAATGAAAAATATCTCTACAGCTCTCCAGTGAACTTGTTGGACGGGAGAATTGGAGATTGCATGATCATCCTCTTTAACCATGCAATCTCATAATAACCAATTGGGCTAAGCATCCTCACAAGCCCTACCTACTATCAATTCCCAAAACATCAAACTTCAATGGTGCTTTTGAGAAGGCTGACTGCTTTTCAGTTCACTCTGTCAACTCTGCACGGTCGCTCTGGTTTTGCTGCGCTTGAAGCTACAAAGTAGCTATCAATAAAGAGTGCCTAATTGTAGACTAATAGGCTAGGATCAGCAAATCTGAGCAAGGTGTACGTGCTTCATTGGTGATCAAAAACACCTCCTTTCATTTCTGTACCTCCAAAAAGGAGCAGCTATGTGTGTGTGTTCAGATTTGCTTTTTTTCAGGAAACCTTTGCTGGGAGCTCTCTGGCTGAGCTTCCTGCCTCATTCTCTCCTGCAGTGGTTGAAACCGTTGAAACCCAAACAAGTAGAATCTAAATTGACCCCTAAGAAATCCTAAGGATCTTCAAGATACCCCAACTGTTCGGTCAATCTTCCTGTATGCAACTCAGGGGCCTTCGGTCTTGCTGAGGACCACCTTCTTCTCCTGGCTTTCTGCGTC